TATTTAATCTCGTTTAGGTGGCGTTGTGTGTACGGCGGGAGGGTTTATGTGGCCCAGTTAAATATGTTTGTGCGCAAGCGTATACTGAATGTGTGTGTGCACGCGCGTGAGCCCTCTACCTCACTATTTACCTCCCTCCCTCCCCCTACTAATGAGCCCCGCCGCTGGTTGCCGGCACAAAAGCCTTGGACGATCGCAAACAAACTTTTCCAAAGACCCCGGGGATGAAAGATGCCCGCCTGGGGGGTAACAAGGACCTAAAGTTCACGAGCCATGGGTATGATACAGGATTTCCACCCTAACGAGGCGGTGCCGTGTGGAGGAGGAGGAGCGACGTGTGTGTGTGTGTGTGGGCCCACCTGGTCCCCCCGTCACTTCTGTTTACCTAGGTTCATTATTCTTCACTCCACTAATCAAATCTACCTTGGCTATTTTTCTTTGTAAAGTTCTTTCCTAACTCTTCCTCTGGGATATTTTTCAAGGCTAAATATCCGAAAAAAATTACTAAATGTGCTTCAATTTGTTCCTAGGGTTTATTTTCATTTTCAGGGGATCTTCTGTTAACCCTTTCCACACCTGAGCCTGAAAGGGGGACAAAAAAATCCGCCTCATCAAAAATAAATGAAAAATAAAAGATCTTCACTACTCACGTTCACCTTCTGTATTTTTCCACTGCTATTTTATTTTACCATTTATACCGAGTTTTATTGTTTCCACCGTCAAAAGAGAAGTGAAAAATACCTAACTAATTAAATCTATCTTCCGTACTTTTGTTTCACGGTATTAATTTAGAGCCTTTATCAAAAGAGTACTGTAAAAAGGTCAGATCAGGTCAGATCAGGTTAGGTCAGGTTAGGTTAGGTTAGGTCAGGTTAGGTTAGGTTTATCGCGTCTAGCTTCTTCTGTTATATTAATCAGGAATAAATAATGGAATTCAACACACTCCCCCTTCCACCATCACCAACACACTCCCCCTTCCACCATCACCAACACACTCCCCCTTCCACCATCACCAACACACACTCCCTTCCACCATCACCAACACACTCCCCTTCCACCATCACCAACACACTCCTCCACCATCACCAACACACACTCTCTCCACCATCACCAACACCCCATTCCACCATCACCAACACACTCTCTCTCCACCATCACCAACACACCCCATTCCACATCACCAACACACTCCTCTCCACCATCACCAACACACACCCTCCACCATCACCAACACACCCCCCATTCCACCATCACCAACACACTCCCTCTCCACCATCACCAACACACACCCCTCCACCATCACCAACACACCCCCATTCCACCATCACCAACACACTCTCTCTCCATCACCAACACACCCCCCCATTCCACCATCACCAACACACTCTCTCCACCATCACCAACACACTCTCCACCATCAAACACACTCTCTCCACCATCACCAACACACACCCCCTTCCACCATCACCAACACACCCCCCATTCCACCATCACCACACACTCTCCACCATCACCAACACACCCCTCTCCACCATCCAACACACTCTCTCTCCACCATCACCAACACCCCCCATTCCACCATCACCAACACACTCTCTCCACCATCACCAACACACCCCCCATTCCAACACCAACACACTCCTCTCCACCATCACCAACACACACTCCCTTCCACCATCACCAACACACCCCCATTCCACCATCACCAACACACTCTCCCACCATCACCAACACACCCACCCCATTCCACCATCACCAACACACTCCTCTCCACCATCACCAACACACCCACCCATTCCACCATCAACAACACACCCTCCACCATCACTTAACTCTTCCACCATCACCAACACACTCTTCCACCATCAACAACACACACTCCTCCACCATCACCAACACACCCCCCATTCCACCATCACCAACACACTCCCCTTCCACCATCAACACACTCTCTCCCACCATCACCAACACACTCCCCCACTCCACCATCACCAACATTTAGCTCATAGTATACACATTAATACAAACTTAGGAGTATACAGGTTCATACAACATTACCACAACATAAATACACCAACTGAGAATAGTGAATCAGAACCAAGAGACTGACAAACTATTATGATATATAGACTGTGTTTATGACGAGGTGGGACTCTCTCATAGTTATAGCTACAAATTTCCATCTCTCACGACATATATATCCAGCAACGGTACGTCATTAAATCATACTTAGCTACTGCTCATACCAAAGCCATCATCATCATCATCATCATCATCATCATCATTATTATCACTATCAATATAATTATCATTGTCATCATTTTCATCATTGGCACCACTATCAAATCACCATCATCACTATCATCATCACTTCAAGCACACGGTTAACCATCACATACCAACTACTGGCTCCTGGTCACCCTCCCTCCCCCTAACTCCTTCCTTCCCACCCCCTTTCCATCCCTTAAATGACAATATTATTTATACACCACCGTCAGTGCAAAGTGTGTGCGTGTGTGCGTGTGTGTGTGTGTGTGTGTGTGTGTACATATAGATAGAGTTATGGAAGTGTTAGTGAAGAAGAAAGAAGAAAGAAGAAAAGAAGAAGATAACACCATCTCTAATTTAGCAACTCTTTACCTTATGGCTAATTTGCATACGGACGATAATGGCGTTTTTTAGAGATTGTAGGACGACCGTACTAACAGACGGACGGACGTAAGTAAAGACAGACAAACGGACATAGATTAAGGACAAAAGGACGAACATAAAGACGGACAGATCTACGGACAGGAGATAACAAATAATAAATGAAAGAGTGTACAAGGAAATGGCAGAAAAATAATTACAAAAATACGAGAGAAAGGAAGAGGGAAAACATATCGAACAGAAAAACGAAAGTGAAAAAAATATAAAAAAAACTAAAAAAAATATTGATAAAAAAGGAGATTCGTGAAAAAATGTGATAAAAAAGAAGACCCGGAAAAGAATGAAGACAGCTGAAAGAAACGAGAGAAAAAAACAGACCGAAGGATAAAAATATTGAAATGAAAAAAAAGGAGAATTAAAATGGGTAGAAAAGAAACGAAAATAAGACGAAATCCTGTGAAAAAAATAATCAGAGATAATGATGAATTTTGCGAAACTTTGATAACAAGACGAAGAAGAAGTTACGTAATACGAATACTGAAATAAGGCATAAACCCCAATAACGGATAATACATACATAAAGAGAATAAACAAATAAAAAATAATAATAAACTTAGGAAACAGAATTAAAAGAAAAAAAATGATTCGCAATTATTCTCGTCAGTTTGGAGTCATGATAATTCTGGTGACATTTTCCCCGCCTTAACATCAAGACAGTCTGCACGAATGCCCTTTGATCGGCCAGGTGACTTAGCCACACCGTCACACCCACCCACCCACCCACACCCACACACACCCACACCCACCCCACACACACCCACCCACACACCCACACACACACACCCACCCACCACACCACACACCACCACACCCACCCCCACACACACACACACCCACCCACCCACACCCACACACCCACCCACACACGCACCAGGTAGAGACTAATAGCAGTTCGTGTTAATTAGGGTGTAGTGTACCGAGTCCTCACACCGGGGGGTAGGATCATTACGAGTCACGTCAACAAAACTCTCTTCACTCAACGAATACAAGATACACACCCTGTATATATGTATAGTACACATGCTATATGTATAGTTGTATAAAAGTCAATAAAACAGGGACAAAATAGGTATATATAGAATTAGATGTAGTTTACTTTAGCAACAAAATCTGAAAATAATACCGATATTCTAGGTGTATTAATGAAGATGGGGACGCCAAGCTAAACGAAGAATGACGGGGTCGCCAACTCAGAGGGACGACACAGACCCTGAGGTATGAGGGTCGACAGTTTAGCGACGCACGAGGCCATTATCTCCACACACACACACACACACACACACACACACACACACACACACACACACACACACACACACAACAATAATACACACACACCAAAAAACATACAGCTACAAACACCCAACAGCAACACTACAAGCACAAACACAGAGAAAGAAACAGACAGACGTACATACTGTCCTGGTCCCCCACACACAGTCCTGGGTACACCACAAACACGAGGAAACATCATCCAACTATTCATAAAACACATAATAAATGACTAGATCTGACAGAGGCAGGAAAATACGGGGAAAAAACGACTTGGAACCTCCCACGACGACCACCGAGAAGAAAACACATGGTTAGGGAAAAATATTTTGTCGGGGAAATGTAGAAATGTATTTTTAGGGGAAAATTATGTCGGAGAATATAACTTGATCTTATAAATAATGTTAACGATCTGCTTAATACTGTAGAAATACAAAGTGACGAATGATCTTTTTCTGATAACAATAAAAAAAATATAAAAAGAGAACTAAAAAATATGACCTACTGTAGTTCTGTAGACATCGAAGCTGTATAGTCTGTTTTTCTTTATACATTTTGTAGTGAAACAAACTGAACTTTTCTTGCCATCTCACCTGTCTTTCCCGTCACATTTACCAACGTAGCCGACACGAGCAGAACACAACCTCCCCTCTTGGCACAGACCCAGAGGAACGGTAGCTTTTTCTTATGTTTCTTATAATAAATATTAAAAATCGGATAATATAATATAATAGGGCGGGGGTGAATATATTGTGGGGGTTATTATATATTGTTAAGGAAATATATCAGTGGGTAAACATACATTATTATGGAAGAATATTTGAGTGAAAATAACGAGAAAACTGGATAATGAAGCGACAATAGTCATAAACGCGACATAATTACTCCTAATGATACTCCACATAGCGGTGGGAGGAGAGAGAGAGAGAGAGAGAGATAACAGTACCAGCAACAGCATTAGTATCAACAGTAGTAGTAGTAGTAGGCAGGGACAAGAGGCAATGAACCATACCTGGAAGATATCAACGCTCCCTACATCAACTCTCCCATCAACGCCCCCTACATCAACGCCCCCTACATCAACTCTCCCTCATCAACTCTCCCTACATCAACTCTCCCCTACATCAACGCCCCTACATCAACTCTCCCTACATCAATCAACGCTCCTCCATCAACGCTCCCTACATCAACGCTCCCCACATCAACGCTCCCTACATCAACTCTCCTACATCAACGCTCCCCATCAACGCTCCCCACATCAACTCTCCGCTCCCTGACATCAACGCTCCGCATCAACGCCCTTCACTCTCCCTACATCAACGCTCCTACATCAACTCCTCCACCAACTCTCCCTCATCAACGCTCTACATCAACGCTCCGTACATCAACTCCCCTACATCAACTCTCCCCATCACAACGCTCTCCACACTCCCATCAACCCCCTACATCAACTCTCCTCACACCAACGCTCCCCTACATCAACTCTCCCCACATCAACTCTCCCCATCAACTCTCCCCTACATCAACGCTCCCTACATCAACTCTCCCCTACATCAACTCTCTCTCACATCAACGCTCCCTACATCAACGCTCCCTGACATCAACGCCTCGACATCAACGCTCCCTACATCAACTCTCCCTACATCAACGCTCCCACATCAACTCTCCTCCACTCAACTCTCCCCTACATCAACGCTCTACATCAACGCTCCCACATCAACCTCCCTACATCAACTCTCCCCTACATCAACGCTCCCTACATCAACGCTCCCCTACATCACCGCTCCCCTACATCAACTCTCCCTACACCAACGCTCCCCTACATCAACTCTCCCCATCAACTCTCCCCCACATCAACGCCCCTACATCAACTCCCCTACATCAACGCTCCCTACATCAACTCTCCCTACATCTCTCCCTACATCAACGCTCCCCTACATCAACATCCCTATAACGCTCCCCTACATCAACTCTCCCCATCAACGCTCCCCATCAACGCTCCCCATCAACTCTCCCCTACATCAACGCTCCCCTACATCAACTCTCCCCATCAACTCTCCCCTACATCAACGCTCCCCTACATCAACTCTCCCCTACATCAACCTCCCCTCATCAACTCTCCCCTCATCAACTCTCCCCCATCAACTCTCCCCTACATCAACGCTCCCCTACATCAACTCTCCCTCCATCAACTCTCCCTACATCAACTCTCCCCTACATCCAACGCTCCCCTGCATCAACTCTCCCCTACATCAACTCTCCCCTACATCAACGCTCCCCTACATCAGCTCTCCCTACATCAACAGCTCCCCATCAACTCTCCCCACATCAACTCTCCCCTACATCAACTCTCCCCTACATCAACTCTCCTACATCAGCCTCTACATCAACTCTCCCCTACATCAACTCTCCCATCAACTCTCCCCTACATCAACTCTCCCCCTACATCAACGCTCCCCTCCATCCAACTCTCCCCTACATCAACTCCCCCTACATCAACTCTCCTATCAACTCTCCCTACATCAGCCGCTCCCCCTACATCAACTCTCCCCTACATCAACTCTCCCCTACATCAACGCTCCCCTACATCAACTCTCCCCCTACATCAACTCTCCCCTACATCAACGCTCCCCATCAACTCTCCCCTACATCAACTCTCCCCTACATCAACGCTCCCCTACATCAACACTCCCCATCATCACTCCCTACATCAACTCTCCCCTACATCAACGCTCCCCATCAGCTCTTCATCAACGCTCCCACATCAACTCTCCTCACGTCTACATCAATCCTGCAAACACAGGAATAATCAATCAACACCAGTGCTTGCCGTTCATTGGTTAGCGAGGATTAAGTCTTAGGATGTGATTGGCTGGGGGCGGCAGTGTAATCATGAACACTGGCTGGATGCAACGGTGTAATCCCTAATCACTACCTCGCCTGGCACTACAATTTGGACCTGGCCAGGCTTTGTGCGCGTGACTAAGGGGGTGCAGGAATTGCCAACGTTACAAGACAGGGAGGGGCAAACCGAAGCTTAATTCGGCCGGCTGGAATCTGTCTTGAAAAACCGGCACTGGATTATCAATGATATTCAGAGGTAAAGTACAGCGTCATGTGCCCTAACGTTATAATTATTGTTGTTTATACTGAGGAACGAGTGTGTAGGGTGGAGTTAGGGGTGTGGGGGGATAATGTCAGTCGTTACCAGGAAGAATGGCATCAGTAATCCGTCATTAT